GCAAATTTCCAAATCATACTGTCATAATCATGGGTGATAACGGGGCTCCCACGCGCACTTCGCGCGCGTGGGGCAGAGCCCCATACCCCTGGAATATGGTCAACCTCTTTTCGTTTGGCTGTCACGTGACTGACCGAGCGTACGTACGTACCCTCTGTCATGTATGCTATCACGAAAGTACCATATGATCAAATTAGAAAATATGGCATCAGCGAGGCCGACCTTCAAAATTTTCAGGTCGGATTTTTCCCTCATTTGCGATCGAATTAGACCTTGTGGAACTCAGAATGTAAAGTAACAATGCTATAGAATACTCTGCTTGGAAAAGAATGGATATCTAGGTCTTAAAGGTGACAGAATAAGCTCTCGAGTCAACGACACTACGATTCTCAAGGCAACGCGAATTATGGACGTAACGTGAAAACCGAATTTTCGTACTTCAAGCAGGGCCTAACGACAATTTGACGATTCGATGGCCGGGTAAATATTATGTTCGAGTAACAATGTGTTAAAAAAGTATTGTTTAATAGAATATTTTGTGTCAAATCGAAGTTTCAACATAACGCTGCGCAATTACTGGCCTTGAAGGCAAGTAAACAACGATCAAAGCATGATGAATTTCACCGCGTGGGCTTTGTACACGTAAGAAATTCGTGCGTTTTTCGCTTACAACAGCAAATCAAAAATTTTTTTTTTATATGTTGTAGTTCAGTTTTATCCTTGGTTCAAATTTTGTTTTCCTTTGTTCTCGGTCATGTTAATGTAATAACACCAGAAATTCGTCAACTAATGAGAACGCGCGACCAACGGCGCAAACTTGCGGGAAAAACAAATGACCCTTTCCACTGGAACGGATACAGATTTTTTCGTCAAGAAGTGAAAAGAGAGATTCGTGTGGCCGAAAAAGTTCACGTCAGGACTCAGATCCTGGATAGCAATGGAAATTCTAACTCAATTTGGAAAATCATTAACCGGTGTCTACCACGTAAACAACAAGATAATTTTATGGCTTCTGAGGATCCCACTGGGTTAGCTAACGAATTAAATGATTTCTTCATTTCCGTCGGCAGTAATACTGCTCAAAAAGCCAGGGACTTATCTTTACATCATGGACTTAATGTAAATTTGGATGTGCCGACTCCTTTACACATATCCACCGACGTTAGCCCCGAATTATTCGTTCTCCATCAAGTCACGGAAAATCAGGTAGAAAGGGTGATTAGAAGCCTACCATCTAACAAAGCTCCTGGAATGGACAAGATATCTTCTAGAATTCTTAAAGACAGTTTACCCAGTACGCTAACAACAATTACCCACATTGTGAATAACTCCTTTGTTACCAACACATTTGCACGTGCATGGAAAACAGCAGAGGTTACACCTATTCTCAAATGCGGTAATCCAGATGTCCCTAACAACTATCGCCCCATCTCATTATTACCAATAGTCTCAAAAGTCACTGAAAGGTTGGTACATGGACAACTTATGGAGCATCTAATTAGAAATAATAAACTGGCAGCACATCAGAGCGGAAATAGAAAGCTTCACTCGACAGAAACAGCTCTGTTGTACGTTACAGATCAGTTGCTCCAGGCTATGGATAACAAGAAAGTTTCCATCATGGTCTTATTAGATATGTCTAAAGCATTTGATAGTATTCGACACGACATCTTGTTATCCAAGCTACAAAATCTCGATTTTTCCCAGGGTGCGTTGAATTGGTTTCAGAGTTACCTTTCTAACCGACAACAGTGCGTTCGAATTGGTGACGCAGTTTCTAAAGTACTCCCACTTGAGTTCGGAGTTCCGCAAGGCTCTATTTTAGGTCCGGTTTTGTTTACAATCTATGTTAACGACCTCCTTTCTGTTCCTAAACGTTGTCTATCTGCCTCCTATGTTGATGATTGTAAATTGTATTTGTCCTTTTCACCTGCCGAATTACCCACGTCCATCCTCGCCTTAAACGAAGATCTTACGAGAATATCTCAGTGGTGCTGTAAAAACTCTCTTTTGATTAATCCGGACAAAACTAAGGTTCTAGCTGTTGGATTACCACAACTTTTAAAGAAACTGTCATCATTCAGTATAACACTTTTTGACAAGGAAATAACACCTGTGCCTGTCGTTAAGGACTTGGGTGTTCTTCTCGACACACACCTCAGTTATAACCAACATATCACTGAGATTGCCTCTAAATGCCTTTTTAAATTGTACCAAATTAACAGAATCAAGCACCTCCTGGATAGGAAAACACTTCTGTTAGTAATAAATTCATTTGTCTTTAGTAAACTCCAATATTGTTCAACTGTCTGGAGTAATACCAGCAGCAGCAATATTGACAAGTTACAAAAAGTCCAAAACTTTGCTGGGCGAATTATTCTGGGACTAAGAAAGTATGACCATATTTCGGATGGGTTGCGATCGTTGAAATGGCTTCCTATTAGAGAGAAACTCATTCTAAATGACGCTACTATGATGCACAAATGTATTAACAAGCTTGTTCCAGACTATCTTGCTGATATGTTTAAATCACGTTCTCAAGTCCATAATAGACAAACTCGATCATCTGGTGCTTTGGATATACCTTTATGTCGCCTGTCAACAGGGCAGCGCTCCTTTGCTTTCAGAGGAGCCAAACTCTGGAACTCCTTGAATGATAACATTAAGTCCTTAAAATGCCCCAGGAATTTTAGACGTCATCTTGCAAATGTTTTATTAAGTTGATATATTATATTATTGATATATATTTTGTAATTATAATATTATTGTATTTACATTCTCAATTAATTTATATATTTGTATTTTTTTTT